GGGGCCGACTTGACGGCACATAACAACAACAAACAACAACTGTGTCAGGCACTGTTCTAGTTGATTGGGATTCACCAACGGACAAAGCAACACCCCTCCATCATGGGATGTACGTGCCAGTAGGGAAGGAGAATGGGCAATAAGAAAATCAGGAAACCATGATCCTGGCTAAGCGTTGGACTTCTGACCTGACCCATTATAAATACCTCCTATTACACTAAGTATTGGCCTCAGAGTTTCCATCAGTCTTTATCAGGCCAAGATGCCTAGTCCTTTTTATGACTTTTTTCCACATTTTCTATCGTGATCCCTTTCAGAGCAGTCAGTTGTGGTAATCAAGCACCATCTAGTTCTGGTTTCTGGTTTGAGGCTGAGGTTCACGTGGTCCATTACTCCTTTGGACTACTTGTTTCCATGAGTCTTTCATTTTCTTCACTCTCCTTTGCTCCAGATGGGGAGAAACCAGTAGCTGCGCCTTAGATGGCTGCTCACAGGTTTTTAAGACTCCAGTTGCTACTCACCAAAGTAGGATGCAGAACATTGTCTTTGGGGACTATGTTATGCCAATTGACCTTGATGTCCCCCAAGACTATAGTCCTCAGCTCCCATGCCCAGTGATTCATTCCTTCAAGATGTTTGTTTATGGCTAAGAAGTTTTCACAACTTTTCCCCCTGTATGTTCTCCTACATTCATGGATATATTTGCAGCACATATAAAAACATACGTAGAAATATGTTCTATCAAACCTATATATATATATTAGTGGGTGGAATCGCATTTGCCTTCCTTTCTCCTCCATTCATATTGCCTGTCTATCTTTGTGTCCACTTGCAGATTATGTTACAACTATTATTGCAAGATTGTGTAGGTAATAATATTTACCTTCCTTGCCTTTAACTCTTGTGTACCTCCCTCTCTCTTCCTTTGCCTTAATCTTTTGGTGCTGACCTCTCCCTTATTGCATATTGCCTTTCCCTTTACCCAAGTTAATATGTGTCTACCCTCTAGTTAGTGATTTATCCACCCTTTCCCTCCCAACCATGGTAACCATCAAAAATATTTTTGTGTGTAAACCTTTTCTTGACTTTTTATAATAGTGGTCTCATACAATATTTGTCTTTTTGTGATTGACTAATTTCACTCAGCATAATGCCCTCTAGGCTTATCCATGTTATGAGATGTTTCACAGACTCATCATTATTTTTTAATGTTGCATAGTATTCCATTGTGTGTACATACCATAGTTTGTTTACCCATTCATCCTTTGATGGACACTTAGGTTGTTTCCATCTTTTTGCTATTGTGAATAATGCTGCAATGAACATGGATATGCATATATCTATTTGTGTCCTGGCTCTTATTTCTGTAGGATATATACATAGTAGTGGAATTAATAGTTATATGGTATTTCTACTTCTAACTTTTTAAGGAAGCATCATACTGTTTTCC